GAGGAAGGTTCACACACAGGCAATTTTGAATTTTGATTTTGAATTTGAAGGTTAGGTTATTGACAATTCGACAGTTTCGTGTCATTATTGTAAATTTTGTGTTCTTAAACCCTTCTTTATTATATTTTGAAATAAATACACTCATAACTTCAATGTTAATTTGTATGTTTAGTGTTGACGATAACAAACGAAAATAAATACAATAATAATAATTATTAATTTAAATTTACCGCCAAAATATCTAGTGATATTTTCTGGTGATTTTTCCTAGTGTAAATCTGACTTTCGCGTTTACTCCTCCTGGTTTAAAAACAGAGTATAGTAGATTTTACTCATTTTCCATTACTACAAATAAATGGAACAAAAGACACAACATTTATAAGATTTCAAAGTCCAGAAATATTTGCCTAAAATGTTGTGGCCCTTCATACTTTTGAAAATATTTAAATTGAAAGATAAAATAAAAAGATGGCTTTAAACATCATAAAAAGCCGGTATTAATCATCTTACCTATTTGCAAAATCTCTGCAACTTTTATAAATCCTCAGAGAATCATTGAAAATGTTTATATTTTAAACTGTTAGAAAACATATTGAAAAAATCTTTCTAAAATCCTCTAGTCTAATCTTCCTACCCAAGGACGTTTCTAGAAATTCCCAGAAATCTTTGGAAATCCTTTAATATTCTTTTTTATGTCCTTAAAACGTCTAGATGTCTTTTATGATCTATAGAAATTCTCTAAAAATTGTTTGACATCTTTGCTATTGCAAAGATTTACCCTTATTTAATTCTTTGAAAATCCAAAAAGCTGTTGTTCCAAAAAGAAATTGGTTAAGATATGATTCTTAAAAGTATAGTTGAAAAAATTATTTTAACTTTGTTATACTTAGAGAAAATAAATTACAATTATTTTTTAAATTATCTTATTAAAAACATATTTATCATATTTTTAAAATAATAATAAAAACATTATATCCAATGTCTCAAATTGGAAGATTGAGAACTGAATCAAATTTGTCATATTTAATTATATCTTTTGATTGATCGTGATATATAATATATTGATACACACCAGAAAGTATTAAAACTTGAAAAACATTTAAAAATCTCCAAATAACGAATAAATAAGATAAACAAAGACATACAATAGTCCTTGTTTATTCCATCGCAATAACGTGTGCACTAAATCTCAACTGATTTTTTTACTTTCTAGTTTTGATGTTGAAAATGGAGCTAGTCCAGGAAGAAGCCCTCTGGATGGAGCAGCTTCACCATCCGCAGGGTTGGTTCTTCAAAACCTTCCGCAAAGAAGGGAGAGTTTCCTGTACAGATCAGATAGCGATTTTGAAATGTCGCCAAAATCAATGTCAAGGAACTCCTCCATAGCAAGCGAAAGGTAAGTAGTTAATTTATTGTATTAATCTAAAGCGATTTATTACTCAATAAGTTCACATCGAATAATCATTATATTTAAATTTAATTTTCCGAGAGACTGCCATCTCTGATTACGCTCGAAAAGGTAGAGCGGAAAATCCTATCCTCGTTTCAAACCTGTTGATGGAAAATCAATAACGAGTGAGATTTCCACCGCTAGAGCGAGCTTCTACTACTATTTATAACCATTTCAATTCGTAAACTATCGTTTGATAAAATTAATGTTACACCATTAAACTAATCTATTTTTGGTAAACAATTATAACAACTTAATTTAAATAAAAAAAATTATGATTAACATAGAGAACAACATAAATTATGTAATAAACAATTTCATTTTATAAATAGCGCAATAATTGAGCCGTAAAAATTTTATTGATTAATATATCAAATTTTGAGATATGCAAGGTTTTTAAAGTTGTGTATAGCATTGCGTCATCGGAAATAGAGTGACCTACTAATCTACATACCAGAAAAGTAGGTTTATGTAGAGGGAATGTTTTAATCATAATATAGGGAGAAATTAATTCCAAATAGAACAACTATCTAATTGTACATACAAGGAAATTGAAATTTCCGTTTGGTTGCCCTGATTCAAAAGGGAGAACCAGAATTGATGTTAAAATATCACTCAGGGGTCCTTTAGGAAACGATTTAATTTAGCTCAGTTTAATTAAATTAAACAAAGAAACTGTGTAATTTCGTATAACATGAAATTCATTTTATTTACTATACTAAAAACTAACAGGATAATAAAAGGAATGATTTAAGTTAGTTTAGTTAAATCAACAATATTGTTTAACGCATTTCGTTTGACTGTCATCGTGTTTTCAGATTCAAGGAGACAGAAACCGTTTTGGATAGATCGTATGTATCTCGTAATTTTATTGACTGTTATTCGCACAATATAATGCAAAAGATTGAATGGCAGCGTAGTTCTTAAAAATCCACATAATAGCTGTTTGTTAAATTCTTATCTAACTAGAATAAAAAATAATAATTTTTAAAGTGAACTCGCTTAACTCCAAATTAAAACAATAAGTGTTCTCACTTTTTATATTCTTATTTTTTGTGTTGAGTACTTAACATTTTTACAAGTAGTTTTATGTTGACATACAAAGTGCATGCAGTTTTCTTGATTGAGCTCTACGCGTGGCTGCCTGCTTAAGTAGCGCAATAATCATATTTAGTTATTTTAACTATAAAATATTCTTATAATATGTTTCAATTCAAAATTTATATTGATGATAAATTATTAATCTAATTGGTTCCCGCACGTATTGAAGATGTTATTTGTTTATCCCTTTGATGTGTATCTATATTTAAAAACATTTTACCATTGATGTTATTCGTTTATGTTGGTGTTGGATGTGCACCACCCATCCATCAATATTTGTGTAGTTAATCGACTAATTACTATTCAAGTTAACACAGCTCACTCATTTACACTGCATGTACATTAATCAATGTAGTGTAGAAAAAAACACAAGTAGGTACACCAAATTATATAAGAATTTCCCCAACAAATATTGTTTTTTAATGTTATTGGACATTTTCTCTCCAATAGGAATAGACGAAAACTTGAGGGGAAAAACAACTCCGATACTATTCTTTTTTTAGGTCCTGTCAGAAATTTCATACTGAAAATGTTTACACCGAAATCCTTTTATAAGTTCAAGGAATCAAATGGGGAACGTAATTGATTAACGTAGAGTGTTTTAAATAATATTTATGAACTATTAAATCGAACAATTATCTCATAAATTAAGCAAGCAAAAATATTCGTTTAAAAAAATGCATAAGTATTAATTTTAGCTAATTCCAGTACAACTTCAAATTTAACTCGTTACTTCAATCAACATGCTAAACTGGTGATCACCGCAAATTTAATGCCATATCGAGCGAGTAAACTAATTCGATGTAAACCTCAATCTTTGGAATCGCTTTGAAATCCTTTGGGAAATAGGTTGGAAACTGGTTAAACGACTGGTATCTATATACAAAGTGTTTCAAAAGTAGTTTAACAAAAATAACATCACTTTTAAAGTGAAACTAAACTAAACATGATTTTCCACTTTTGATCATCATAAATCTTGGAAATTTAATAATGAATATTTTGCCGATTTTACCATAGAAAAGATAACTCTTTTTTTTATAAATTGCGCAACATTGAAAACAATTGTATTAGAAATCGATTTATAACGACTTTTCTTCGTACATTATCTAAGAATCAAGACAATTGCACTACAAATTGATTTGTAACGATTTTATTCAATACTGTATATTAATTAATAATTTTTAAACGTAAGGTTGGGTTTAAAAGTTTTTATCTTAGAAATCAAAAGTAATTTTCAAAATTAGATGTTTACATGGTAAAGAACACAACGTAAAATATGTTCTGTCCGGTCAAATTAGTGTTAATGTCTTGTGGTGGAGAGTTCATTTTCTGTTGATCATTAACCACAGGAAAAATTACATTATAGTATTTGAATCATTTTTTTTATGCTGCTGTAGACTTTAAATCGCCACCTCTTATGAAGAAATATTTATTTTGATGTTAATGTTATATTAAAAGTTAAAAAATGTTTCGAATATATTTCAAATATTAGCTTTGATCAACTCAAGATCCTTTCCAAAAAGCAACGGAATCACCTGAATACATTTTGGGTTATTTTTATTGCGTTGACGCAAGTGGCTATTACGCTATACTACTACTTAAGGTTGGATGTGTGCAGGTGAAGTGAAATAGTGTTGTACTAAGTAGACCTAGGAATATAGGAAAATAAATCAAAACGTGGGTTTCATACGCAATTTAATAAAAATCTGTTTCTTCGTTCATTGAAATTTGCACGAATTGTTGAAGCAGCTATGTGCTTTCCAATATAGTAATCCGTTTTAACAAAACATCTTTAATTCTTCAAATATAAATCCTTGAAGTTTGTGTCTTATTTTAATGCTTTCAGTTCCTTTACGAGTAACTCTAAAAAATTTGTTAAAAATCGGATTCTCGGATAATTGATATAAATTTCCATGAATTATGAAATAATCAAACTAGTAACTAGTAGTATCCATTTTGAAAAATCAAATTTAATTCTCGAGGTAGATAGTCTTCAAGTCGAAAACAATCATCAATATTTTCTATTTTTTACGATTAACTCTGAAATATTGTTAAAAGATGGTTTGTTGGGAAATTGTAGTAAACTCCAATTTTCATGTTTAGTTTTCAATCATAATTTTATTTGAAAATCGAATAACAAAGGTAAATTGGTAAATAAAACATTGCTAAATGTTTTTTATTGGAAATAAGAAGTATTCATAATGATAGTAAATAATAAATTTATTACAAAATCCATTGTTCATTGATTGATTGATGTTTTTGAAGTAATTTTAAAGATCGTCACTAATACGAAATAACCTGAGTGTCATTATAATGACTCAGTATGTCAGTATCTAGATTTAAGGTTAAAGCTTAGGGTGGAAGAAATAAAAAGAAACATTTTAAATAATATAAAAATATTCTTCAATAAAATTGAATAGAAATCTCTTGTGATGCAGCCAACATTTGAAAATTGCTTTTATTTTACAGACCATTGCCAAGTTGAACACTTTTGCAAATCTTATTTTCCTTTGCTTTTACTACTTCGTTCCAACAACTTTGATCGACACGATAACCATAAGAAAATTTACGATCGTTCCCACTATTCCCTAGAAACCACCGCAATATATTTCAAATTTGCTTGTATAACTTTTAAAGTACATATTCAAATCATTAAAAAATATCTTTCTATCGTAAGCTTATAATATAAATCCGAGATAAAACTGATTAAAATTCCCTCAATATTATTTTAATTCATTAAAACTGTTTTAACATGGATAAAATTTATTATTTTAAGGTTTTAACCGCACGACAGCTGCATCAGTAATAATATAAAGCTTTCGAGAACTTAAAACAATTACCATAAATTTTCTATTACAAAGGCACCGGTTGTAACACGTAATGTACACGGTAAATTTTATAATGCAAAGTGAAAATACACTTTTTATTAATTATTTTAATTCGGTTTCCTTTCACGCATATCTCGTTTAGCCCTTACATTTAGTTAATTCAAAACGACTCTATTAACGATGCTTTCACTGAAGCTTAGCTCATCGTTGCGGAAGGAATTAAATTTGTGTTTATATCCCCCAGACTTCCCCTCAAAGTGCTATCTTTTCACCGATTATATTCAACATATAAGAAGGTTGTTGTCTCTTTAAATAATTCTATCAAAGGGAGATGAAGTAATTTATAAACCACAAAGTAATTGCAGTTGAATAATTACATTCATTTTAAAATTCAAATATTATTAATTTTGTAAATGTTATTGAAAATGTACTATCATTGTTAAAACTCCGAAATATTATTTACATTATTTCGTGTATGAGTTATCTTATCATTGACAATGTACGGGATTTTGTGTCTACTCCTAAGGTAAATAAACATCTGATTTATTGATTCTCCATCGATATCACTTGTTTGGAAAGATGTTGAAAGCTTATGGAGTACGTAAGATAATATTTATTATCAATGTCATGTAATAAAAAATGTTGGTAGCGTTTTTAATTTAACAATTTTTTATTTCTAATTACTAAATATAGATAGTATTAAGTTAATGATGACCAGTTTGCATGACAGTATGCATTAATTGATTTATGGTGTTATTAAAAATTATGATTCTAAAGGTCAAAAAAATAAGTTCGCCAATTGAAATTGTTAATCCATCACTCTTGATCATCGTGGATTAAATTTGATGTGATTCGTTACCGATTAGTTCACCAACGAACCACCCAAAATCGAACAACCCCCATATTACGCGTCCTCACTACCAAATATGCGCCCTGATGAATTGACGACGCGTCCAAGGGCTCCAGGTTCTATCCCCCACCATCCCCATCAACGTTACGCTCTGCTACCGCCCGCAGTCCCCCCTGGACTTTCTGCTAGGAAGAGTGCTCCGTTTAGTTCTCGAACCGCTTTAAACATTTACACACCAAAAAAGAAAACTTTTTAATCATAAAAAAGTGTTGTTCAGTGATCGGTTAACATTAAAAAAGAAAAAAAAATATTTATCTAATATCTTTACTCTTTAATACTTTTACCGCGTAATCTCGAGATGTACTCTGAGAATAATATCGTAAGGGTGAACGGAGTGCGTTATAGCGACTATTTGGAGTGACAAGCAGAGGATCCAGGTGAAAACCTGGCATTTTCGCAAGGCTGCTGTTCCTCTTCCTCCATTCCCCCGTCTCCTTCCCCACCGGAAAGTCCCAAATCCAAAGCCGTCCTTTCGCACAGGGGTTCTCTGTCCAGGTCCGCTTTGGGTAATTGCTCTAGTCCTTCCTTACTCATGGCTTCACCGCAATCTCAAACCGAACATCCTACCCTACCAAGAACCTTATCCACCTCAGCATTAAGGATAAAAAATCGCTCCACATTCTGGGATAAAATTTGGCATGAAAGAACAAAACGTGATTAGTAAGTAAAAGTAGAAATGTTTATTAACAGATATTTATTTAGAATATTATCATAAGAATTACAAATCCTTATTTCGCTACTTTTATAGATAAATTAGGCCACTACGTAATCATACCTGAAGGTTAATCTTTAACTTTTACTAAACCTATTAGTTTAATAACAACACTTTCAATTACCTTTTTAATAAATTATATTCCCACGTGTAGTATACATAAATGGTTCCATGTAAACTACATATTGCTTATAATAAATTATTTTAGATTACTATTTAGACAAATTCAAAAAGATTTTTTTTTAATAATATAATACTTCTATTTTTCTCTTAATTCTGAAATACTATCCCCACAGCCAG